CTGAGACAGACAACAGACAGAGACAGCCAAACAAAGGCAGACAGAGACAGAGAGACGGAGACAGATAGAGATATATATATATATATGCATATATATGCATATATATATAGAGAGAGAGAGAGAAACAGAAGACAGAGAGACAGAAACAAAGGCTGAAAAGTAGAGACAGAGACAAAAGGAGACAAAAGGAGACAAAAGGAGACGAACTTGTTATCATAGAAAAGGTGTAAGTGCTGCAGCGCTGAGTTGAGTCTGGCGAGATATCTGTAACAAACAGAATATAAACAAACACACAACAAAGTCATATGCATGCAGCCCCAACGCAAACCACAGCAACCAGCAGCAGCAGCAGCAGCAGCAGCAACAGCAGCAGCAGCAGTAGCAGCAGCAGGTCCCGCCAAAGAATGAACGCAGCAGCAAAACGAGCAGAGCGGCAGCACAAACAGAAGCAGCAGAATGGACAGCAGACACAACAGCATGAACAGCAGCAGCAACAGCAACAGCAGCAGCAAGAGCAGGCAGCAGCAGCAGCAGCAGCAGCAGCAGCAGCTGGCATACAGCTCATCTGCCCGCAGGTCGCGAGAAAAAACTTGTTATCATAGAAAAGGTGTAAGTGCTGCAGCGCTGAGTTGAGTCTGGCGAGATATCTGTAACAAACAGAATATAAACAAACACACAACAAAGTCATATGCATGCAGCCCCAACGCAAACCACAGCAACCAGCAGCAGCAGCAGCAGCAGCAGCAACAGCAGCAGCAGCAGTAGCAGCAGCAGGTCCCGCCAAAGAATGAACGCAGCAGCAAAACGAGCAGAGCGGCAGCACAAACAGAAGCAGCAGAATGGACAGCAGACACAACAGCATGAACAGCAGCAGCAACAGCAAGAGCAGCAGCAAGAGCAGGCAGCAGCAGCAGCAGCAGCAGCAGCAGCTGGCATACAGCTCATCTGCCCGCAGGTCGCGAGAAAACCGCGGAGAGTGGAGACACAAAAGAAGCAGCAGCAAAGACGTCAGCACGTTGAGGTGCGGATACACCGCATCCAACAGCACAGGCTGCAGGCAGCAGCAGCACCCCAACCCCACACCTCGCCCCTAAACCCTAAACCCTAAACCCTAAACCCTAAACCCTTAACCCTAAACCCTAAACCCTAACTGAATAGGCCTTACACGCTGCAGGGCACTGCTCAACAAGCTCGTAGCCGCGAAGGCGAGCAGCAAAAAGACAATCCCTAAGACGCAGCAACAACAACAAATGCAGCAGCAGCAGCAACAGTAGCAGCAACAGCAACAGCACGCTCGCGGGGCTGTGAAGGGCTCTTGCCTCTCAGGCAAGAGAACACTCTGACTGGCTACATACGCAGCTAGCTAGCTAGCTAGCTCGCCAACTCGCCAGGCAGCTAGCTTGCTAACTAGCGAGACAGCTAGCTAGCTAACTGGCCAGACAGCTAGCTAGCTAGCTAGCTAGCTAGCTAGCTAGCTAGCTAGCTAAGTAAGACTCACGAGCGTGGAGACAGGCGACCCCGCGCAGTTCTTTCAAAGACTGCCGAATGCTCGACTCAAACCGAACCAAATCTGCCAGCCCAAACACAACACCCAACCACACAACAGCTAGCTAGCTAGCTAGCTAGCTAGCTAGCTAGCTACGCAACAGCTAGTGTGGCTAGCTAGCTAGCTAGCTAGCTAACCACACTACAGATAGCTAGCTAGCTAGCTTGCTACAAAAGAGAGAGCCACTGGTCAGCTAGCAACGCAGCAGATAGCTAGTCAGATAACCACAGATAAGCTAGCCGCACATTAGCTAGCTACACACCAGCTAGCTACACTCGCCAGCTAGCTACACACTAGCTAGCTACACATTCGCTGGATAGCTAGCTAGCTAGCTAGCGAGCTAGCTGAGGAACAACAAATACTCACTGCGCTGCTGCACTGTCGGCAGATGCAGCTCCTCAAGAGGCAGGAAGCCGCCTTCCTGCTGCGCCGCCTCCATTGCATGCAGCAGCAGCAGCAACAGCAGCAGCAGCAGCAGCCGCAGCAGCAGCAGCAGCGCGCTGCTGTACCGCCCCACCCAGCCGAAGACAAGGGGACTCAGACGGATAGAAGACAGGGAGCAGCAAAAAGAAGGCCGCTGCACCAGCAGCAGCAGCAGCAGCAGCAGCAACCGGAACAGCAGCCGCAGCAGCAACACAAGCAGCAGACACGGCACCACGAAAATACTGCAGCAGCAGCAAGTGAATGCAGCAGGTGCTACGAAGCAGCAGCAAAATCCCTTTTGCCCCCCTAAAGGCGATGTTGTTGCTCAGATCGCTGCTGCTGCTGTTGCTGCTGCAGTTGGTGCTTCTGCCTGCTGCAGAAGTTGCTGCTACTGCTGCTGCACACACCCCTTAGCAATTAACAGAAAAAGACAGCAGCAAGGCGTGTCGAGCTGTGCTGCTGCTGCTGCTGCTGGTCCTGCTGCTGCAGCTTTGTAATGCCGCTGTTCCTGCGGCTGCAGCAGCTTGGGGCGCTGCAGCACAGCCGAAGCTAAACCATACGCATTGAAAGTTGTTTGCTGCTGCGGGTGTTTCTGCACTTGCTGCTGCTGTTGCTGCTGTATTCGCTGCTTGAACTGCTGCTGCAGTTGCTGGTGCTGCAGCTTCTGGTGTTGCAGTTGTTCCTGCGGTTGCTGTTGCTGCTGTTGTTGCTGCAGCAAATGCTGCTACGGTGGCTGCTGCTAAAACGGACGCTGCTGTTGCTGCTGCTGCTGCTGCTGTTGCTGCAGCTGTTGCTGCCGCTGTTGTTGCTGCTGCTGTTGCTGCTGCTGGTGTTGACGCAGAAGCGCCGATGGGGCCTCCCCAGAAGAAGGCAGCAGCTCTCGGTACCTGAGGGTTGTCTTAAGTGTAGCGCTGCAACGGTTGCTGCAGCAACTGCTGCTGCAGCTGCTGCTGCAGTTCGTGTGGGTGCTGCAGCTGTTAGGTGTATACACAACTCCCATTGAGGCTCCAAATAGAGCTGTTTCTGCTGCTAGTAATATTCAAGATATTTGCTATTGCAGCAGCAGAGGAAGGGCTACAGCTGCTGCTGCAGCGGCTGCTGCAGCAGCAGCTGCTGCTGCTGCGAGTCTCAGGGGCCCCCAAGGGGCCCCCGGAGTATATTAGCGTACACTAGTGCTGCTGCTGCTGCTTGTTTCTTTGGTCTATATCATTTAATATCAGAATTTTTCTGCTGCTTCCTTACACTAATACCCTTCAAGGCCCTGCGAAGCCTGCTGCTGCTGCTGCTGGCTGTGCTGCTGCCGCTCTTGCTGCTGCTGCTGGTCGGCTGCTGCAGCTGCTGCTGCTGTTGCTGGGATCTGGTTAGTTGCTGCTGGTGCTCGTCGTGCTGCTGCTGGTACTAGCAGCTGCCCTGCTGGTGCTCGGTGTGCAGCAGCTGCTGCTGTTAGTTGGGTTGCGCTGCTGCTGCTTGTGCCTTTCCTGCTGCTGCTGCTCGTTGTGTGTTATTGTTGCTGTTTCTGCTGCTGCTGCTGCTTATTGTGCTGCTGCTGCTTCCAAATAAAGACAGCCAGGGGGGCAACACTCTGCCTCCTCGTTGCAGTACCCCTCTGCTCGGCCAGCAGACATCTGACCCCAACAGCAACAGCAGCAGCAGCAGCAGCAACAGCAGCAGCAGCAACAGCAGCAGCAGCAACAGCAGCAGCAGCAGGGCTTAACACGAACATAATGACTCAGCGGCAGCGGGGGGTTGGGGCCCCCTCTCCTCGGGGCCGCCGTTTATCTGCATTATCCTCTGAAGTTGATGTTGAAGGTTTAATAAAAGATATAAAAATAAACAAACAAATCAGCAGCAATGTTCAAGAAAGCAAAAGAATAATTGCACTGAAATTCTCCTTCATGGCTCTCTTGTTTGTCTGCGCTGTCGGCTTTTTGACTCTCCTTTGCTGCAGCCTACCCCGTAAGGTGTTTGCTGCTGCTGCTGCTGCTGTTGCTGCTGTTGCTGTTGCTGTTACTTCTGCTGCTAGTGATGCTGCTGCTGTTAATGCTGCTGTTAGTGATGCTGCTGTTGCTGCTGCTGCTGTTACTGCTGCTGCTAGTGATGCTGCTGCTGTTGCTGCTGCTGCTGTCACTGCTGCTGCTAGTGATGCTGCTGCTGTTATTGCTGCTGCTAATGATGCTGCTGTTGCTGCTGCTGCTGTCACTGCTGCTGCTAGTGATGCTGCTGTTGCTTCTGCTGCTAGTGATGCTGCTGTTGCTTCTGCTGCTAGTGATGCTGCTGTTGCTGCTGCTGCTAGTGATGCTGCTGTTGCTGCTGCTGCTAGTGATGCTGCTGTTGCTGCTGCTGCTAGTGATGCTGCTGTTGCTGCTGCTGCTGTTACTGCTACGGATAGTGGTGGTGCTGCCATTGCTGCTGGTACTAGTGGTGCTGCTGCTATTGCTGCTTCTGTTATTGCTTCTGCTGCTAGTGATGCTGCTGCTGTTATTGCTCCTGTTATTACTGCTGCTTCTATTGCCGTTGCTGCTACTACTGCGGCTGCTGCCCTTGGTGGTGCTGCTGCTGCGAACGCTGACGCTATTGCTGCTGCTGCTCGTACTATTCCCTTTTTGCTGCTGCTGCTGCTGTTACAGCAACTGCTGCTGCATTTGCTGCTGCTGTTTCTATTATTAACTCTCCTTGCTCCTGTGCGCTGACATATCCCCACCGCCGCCGCTGCTGCTGCTGCTGCTGCTGCTGCTGCTTGTTAGGCCTGAGTGGAGAGGCTGCTGCTGAGCTGGAGGCTGTCCTTCCTTCTTCTTTTTCAGATTTGTCTACTCTTCGCGAGTTGAAGACACTGCAGAAGTTATGTGCTGCTGTTGGGGTGTACAGACAGCAGCACCCTATAGCTCTCGCTTTGCTGCTGTCTTATATCTACCTCCTTTATCAGGCTTTTCCTCTATTCATGCTCCCTTTCTCAGGTGTCTACAAACCCTAAACCCTAAACCCTAAACCCGCCTATAACCGTGCTGCGCAGCTTCTCACCCCGCACTATTTAGGGTTTAGGGTCTAGGGTTTAGGGTTTAGGGTATGACCATTTCTCTTGTCAGCCTTGGCGGGCACGTGAACATCTCTTTTCTCTCCCTGCTGCTGCTTCTGCTGCAACCTCTGCTGCTGCTGCTGCTGCTGCTGCTGCAGGTTTGGCTATGGCTGTGACTCTGCTGCTGGGGGCTCTCTACAGCCCTCTCATTGCTTTCAGTATTACTTCGCTGCTGTCTGCTGTGGGGCCCAGCCTCGCTTACTACCTCTTTAAAGCAGCAGGAAAACCGTTTGTGGTGAGCTGCTGCTGCTGCTGCTGTTGCTGCTGCTGCTGCTGCCGTTGCTGCTTCGCGTGGGCGCGTTTGTATTTCTTCTTTGTGCCGCTCTCTTCTTTCGCTAGAAGGCCCTGAGGGTTTGTTGCTTCTGCTGCTGCTGCTGCTGCTGCTGCTGCTGCAGGTGCGGTTCTTCCCCAAGCAGCTTCAGCGCATGCGTCGGTTGATACACCCCAGACAGAGCAGCAGCAACAGCAGCATTGATGGCAGCAGCTAGAAGGCCCTGAGGGTTTGTTGCTTCTGCTGCTGCTGCTGCTGCTGCTGCTGCTGCTGCTGCAGGTGCGGTTCTTCCCCAAGCAGCTTCAGCGCATGCGTCGGTTGATACACCCCAGACAGAGCAGCAGCAACAGCAGCATTGATGGCAGCACAAGCAGCAGCAAAAGCAAAAGAAGCAGCAGCAGCAGTACTCACATGGAGGGGGAGGTGCATGCACAGGTAGAAGCTGCCGCGCAAGACAAGCTGCTGCCGCAGCAGCAACAGCAGCAGCAGCAGCACCAGCCGAACGCTTGGGAGGCGGAGTTGGATTTGATGCTGACGGTGTTGTTTCTTCGTATATCTCCCTTCCCTAACCTCGTCATTAATGCCGCTTGTGAGGCCCTAAACCCTAAACCCTAAACCCTAAACCTTAACTGCACAAACCTCTGCTGCACTGCAGCTTCACCATGCGCTGGCTGTTCTCGTTGCTCGTCGTTGCGCCTTCTCTGGAGGGGTTTAGGGTTTAGGGTTTAGGGTTTAGGAATTAATGTTTAGGGTTTAGGGTTTAGGGTTTAGGAATTAGTGTTTAGGGTTTAGGGTTTAGGGTTTAGGGTTTGGTGTGGGCTTGCAGCACCCGTCTTAGATGTCCCCTTCAGGCCTTTCTTCATCGCCACTTGGCTCGGGCTAATGCCAAACTCTGCCCTCTTCGGCAAGTCCTAAGGGTTTAGGGTTTAGGGTTTAGGGTTTAGGGTTTAGGGTTGGGAGTTGGGGGAGAGGGCCCGTGATGAAGCCAGTGTGGTGCTTCTGGACAGTGTGCTGCAGCAGCAGCAGCTGCTGCTGCTGCTGAATATGCTGTTGCTGCTGCTGCTAAATATGCTGTTGCTGCTGCAGTTCACTGTGATGTTGCTTCCCAAGTTGCTGCCTGCTTGCTGCTGCTGCTGCTGCTGCTGCTGCTTAGTTTGATGCTGCTGCACATTGTGGTGCTGCTGCGGCTGCTGCAGTGTCTATGGGCTCCGCCTTAGGAAGTCTGGACTCCCTTAGTTCAGGTAGGGGCTGCGCAGCACGTGTTGCTGCAGCAGCAGCAGCTGCAGCAGCAGCAGCAGAATTACCAGCTGCTGCTGCTCCGTTTAGCTGTGTCTGGTTTTGCAGCGAGGCAGCCAACAAGCAATGCCGAATTATGCTCCCTCTGCAGCAGCAGCAACAGCAGCAGCAGCAGCAGTAGCAGCAGGAGGTTGTGTGTGTTGTGCTGCTGCTGCAGGGTGGAGGCCTATTGCGGTGTTTGTCGTTGGTGCTGCAGCAGTTATGCTGCTGAAGATGGTCTTGAGAAAACTGAGACCGCAGCGGTTTGTAGAGTTAGAGACAGCTGCTGCAGACGGAGACACTTAAATAGAAAAGGAGACAGTTGCTGCTAGCAGAGACAGTTGCTGCTAGCAGAGACAGTTGCTGCTGGCAGAGACAGTTGCTGCTAGCAGACACAGTTGCTGCTAGCAGAGACAGCTGCTGCTAGCAGAGACAGTTGCTGCTAGCAGAGATAGTTGCTGCTAGCAGAGATAGTTGCTGCTAGCAGAGACAGCTGCTGCTGTTATTAGAGACAGTCGGCAGTTAAGAAATAAAAAACAGGTGCTGCGTTTTGTCTCCGGCTGTCTGTAGAGACAGCTTCGGACACGAGGTGCTGCTGGGCCAGCAGCAGCAATGCCAGCTAGCAGCAACAGCAGCAACTCATAGTGCTGCTGCTGCAAATTGCCCAGCAGCAGCAGCAGCAGCAACGGCAGCAACTTATGGTGCTGCTGCAGCAAAGTGCCCAGCAGCAACAGCAGCAACTTATGTTCTGCTGCTGCAGCAAAGTGCCCAGCAGCAGCAGCAGCAACAGCAGCAACTTATGGTGCTGCTGCAGCAAAATGCCCAGTAGCAGCAGCAGCAGCAACGGCAGCAACTTAAGGTGCTGCTGCAGCAAAGTGCCCAGCAGCAGCAGCAGCAGCAGCAGCAACAGCAACAGCAACAGCTGCTGCTGCTGCGATTGCAGCAGGTGTTGAGAGACGGCAGTGCCAATCGGCTGACGGCCCGACAGCCAAACTTTTGTGGGAGCCCCGCAACCCGAAGCGAGCATTCATTTCAACCCCTAGTAGTAGTAGTATCAGCAGCAGCAGCAGCAAGAACAACAGTAGTAGCAGCAGCAGCTGCAGCAGTAGTCGTAGCAGCAGCAGCAGTACTAGCAGCAGTAACAGAAATAATAATAAAAGACGTGTACGTGCTTCGAGCTGCACTCTAGGGTTTAGGGTTTAGGGTTTGGGGTTAGTTCATCGATAACCCTAAACCCTAATGCTGCTTATAGGGTAGATAGGGGTTTAATAAGTTTGTTTATATTATTTGCATTTCTATGAAAACACATTAAAGAGTTTGTTTGTCTTCTTTTAGTTTATTCAAGCCAATTAAGGTCAGCACACTCCCCGTCAAATATTCTTTATTTATTTATTAAAATATATTTTTCATTTAAAGTAATTAATATTAAATTTGCTTATTATTGCTGCTTAAGAATTAATACTCGTGCGGTGTACAGACACCTGCGGTGTATACGCTGCTCAGAGGTGCCTATACACCTGAGAAGAGCTTCACGCAGCAGCAACAGCAGCAGCTGTTGAATTCTTTTTACGCAGCAAACCCAACAGTTGTGGTGTACAAACAGCTGGGGGTTGTCTGGCGGCTGCCGGTGCAGCAGCTGCTCCTCTTCTAAGCAGGGAGACGCTCTGCTGTTGCAGCAGCCCGACAGCAGCAGCAAACAGGAGCAGCAGCAGCAACAACAACAGCAGCAGCAACAGCAGCAGCAGGGTATCGTCCCCCCACAAGACCGAGGGCCCCCAGCAGCAGCACCTGCGGAGTGTTAAGAGCAGCAGAAGTTGTAGTTGGCTAGCGGAGATTAATAAAAATAAATATAAAGTAAAATATTGCTTTGTTTTAGAGATAACACCAGCACTATATATAAATAACACCTGCTGCTTCTGCTGCTCCGTGTTGCTGCAGCAGCAGCAGCAGCAGATCTGCTGCTGCACGGTGACAGCCCCTCTGCTGCTGTTGTTATTGACTGCCTTCTTGCAGTGTCTTTGTTTGCATGCGTCCCAGTAATGATGCATCTGAAGGGCTTTAGCAGCAACAGCAGCAGCAAATGCAACAGCAGCAAATGCAGCAGCAGCAGCAGCAGCAGCAGATCAGGGCCTCTCGTCTCAGCCCCGCGGGCCCCAGAGACTCTAGTGCAGACAAAGCCTTTTAACTCTGCTTCTGCTTTTTACTTATTTTTATTGTATTTTTCGTTTTATGAGCTGTTGAGGAGCAGCAGCAGAAGGAGAAGGGCCCCAGCGGCGAAACCTTTCAAGGTCACCTTCAGCAGCAACGACTGGTGCAGCAGCAGCTGCTGCAACAGCTGCTGCAGCAGCAGCTGCAGCTGCTGCAAAAGCTGCAGCAGCAGCAGCAGCTGCTGCTGCTGCTATACAACGGTGCTGCTGAAGGCACACACGGAGCATCGAAGCTGACGCAACCCCCCCGCCGAACGCAGCAGCAGCAACTCAAGTAACAGCAGCAGCAGCAATAGCTGCAGCAACAATAGCTGCAGCAGCAACAGCTGCTGCAGCATCAGCAGTAACTGCAGCAGCACTTGCAGCAGCGTCTGCAACACCTGACTTCCTACGCTGCACAGGGAGGCCTCAATTTCCCAGCCGTTAATAGGGCAAGCAGTCGCGGTGGGATTGCTGCTGCTGCTGCTGCAGTTGCTGCTGCTGCTCTTGCTGCAAGCCTGCAGTCTTAGCGACTCCAGCCACAGCAGCAGCGGGAGGCGCAGCCGGTACCGACTGCTGCCCTTCTTTTGGATTTGTGACGCCATCTGCTGCTGTTGCTGCTGCTGCTGCTGCACCACACAGGTGCGGAGCAGCAAAGCTGCAGCTGCAGCAGCAGCAGCAGCTGCTGCTGAGTGAATTATTTTATCTGTCTGTCAAGGCCCCAGCACCCCCCACGAGGTTGGTTAAGGACTTTGCTGCAGCCCCAAGGTTCTGCTGCTGCCAGACAGCGGGGCAGCGGCAGCAGCAGCCGCAGCAACAGCAGCATCAGCAGCAGCAGCAGCTGCTGCTGCAGCAGGAGCCTCAGCAGCAGCACCGACTCCTCGGCTATATGGCAAGGAGTTGCAACTCCACCTGCTGCGGGCGAAGCAGGTAATTCGGTGGGGCGTGACATGAGGGAGCAGCAGCAGCAGCAGCAGCAGCAGCAAGAGAGCACGCATGCAGCAGCAAGCAGCACAAGATGTGGCAAGCGCAGCAGCCGTGGGTGCAGCAACAACATAGGTGGCTGCAGCAGCAGCTCGCAGGGATTCAAGACTCTCCAGGGACTGTGATGCTCAGACAAGTGAAAATGCAGCAGCAGCAGCAGCAGCAGCAGCAACGACAGCAGCAAATGCAGCAACGGCAGCACGAAATCTTGTCTCAGGCCCGTGGGCAGAACGGCGCCACTTGTGGGGACCAGCAACAGCAAAAGCAGCATCGGCAAGAGCAGCAGCAGCAGCAGCAGCAGCAGCAGCTACCGCGGGAGCTGTTGTTGCAGGGGAAGGCGCACCAGTCGCGGCCGGTGCAGCAGCTGCAGCAGCTGCAGCAGCTGCAGCAGCAGAACAGCGAACAGCAACACCAGCAGCACCAGGCGGAAGCCTGCAACCCTCACGGTGAACAGTTGCGCGGTGTGGGGTGCTGCTGCTCCAAGGAAGAATTGCAGGGGGAGGAATTGCAGCAGCAGCAGCAACAGCAGCAGCAGCAACAGCAGCAGCAGACGCAGCACCAGCAAGAACAGCAGCAGCAGCTACACGAACAGCAGGCGCAGCAGCATCCACACAAGCAGCAGCAGCACCCACGCGAACGGCAGCAGCAGCAACCACACGAACAGCAGCACGAACGGCAGCAGCAGAACGCGCAGCAGCAGCAGCACGAACTGCAGCAGCAGAACGAGCAGCAACAGCAGCACGAACGGCAGCAGCAGCAGCACGAACTGCAGCAGCAGAACGAGCAGCAGCAGCAGCACGAACTGCAGCAGCAGAACGCGCAGCAGCAGCAGAACGAACTGCAGCAGCAGAATGAGCAGCAGCAGCAGAACGAGCAGCAGCAGCAGCAGCACGAACTGCAGCAGCAGAACGCGCAGCAGGAGCATAACGAACTGCAGCAGCAGAATGAGCAGCAGCAGCAGAACGAGCAGCCGCAGCAGCACGAACTGCAGCAGCAGAACGCGCAGCAGGAGCAGAACGAACTTCAGCAGCAGCACGACCTTCATCGCCGCATGGCGCTGGACGGCAGCAGCAGCGACGCACCTGTTGAATCCCCCTGCTCAGCCTGCCTCCCCAAGCGATATACAAAGACAGAGCCGAAGCAGCAGCAGCAGCAGCAGCACGAACAGCAGCAGCAGGAGCAGTGGCGGGAAGAGGATTGCGCTGAGCAGCGGGAGTTGGCGCGGCTTGTGGAGGAGCAGCAGCAGCTGCAGAGAAAAGAGCAGCAGCAGCAGCAGCAAATAGAAGAGACGCAGCAGAAGTGCAGGACAGTGGTTATACAGAGGGCCTTTCTTAGGTGGGAGCTGCTGCAGGCTGCGCTGCAGCAAGCGGACACCGCGCAGCAGCAGCAGCAGCAACTCACTGTGAGGCTGCTGCAGCAGTTCCTCAACAAACGAAGACACGAAATCGTAGTCAAGCAGCAGCAACTCGACCAGCAGCACGGACAGCAGCAGCTGCAGCAGCAGCGGCAGCACGCAGCAGAAAAACTAGCTGCCACTGCTGCTGCTGCTGCTGCTGAGCTGCGCAAGTTCTGGCCAGAGACCTGCAGCAGCAAAAGCAGCAGCAAACATATCCCATACAAATACAGTGCTGCCAACAGCACCCGCAGCCATCGACGCAGCAGCAGCAGCAGCAGCAGCAGCAGCAGCAGTAGCAGTAGCAGCAGCATGGCGGCGTCTTCCCGGTGCACGCCAGCGAGACAGAGGCCTCCGGGTGTATATACACTGCAAAACGGAGAGCTGCACACGCCTCGACATCCCCAGCGGTCTCTACGCGCTGCTGCTGTTGCTGCTGCTGCTGCTGTTGCCGCTGCTGCTGCTGCTGCTACAGGAGGCCACAAGGGCTCAGCAAAGAGAAGTAGTACTGCTCTACTGAGCGAACCCCAAAGCAAAAAGCAGCGGCAGGGCACGCTGCAGCAGCAGCAGCAGCAGCGGTTGCTGAGCGTGAAGAAGGAGCTGCAGCAGCATTCGCACCTAAGGCAGCACCAGGTGCAGCAGCACCAGCAGCAGCAGCAGCAACAGAAGCGTGAGGGGGCTCAGCAGCACACGCTGCAGCACCCGCGCAAGCTGACGCAGAAGCAGCTGCAGCAGCGAGCACAAGCCCTTATCGCAGCAAGACAGGCGCTACGCAGGAAGAGGCATGCAGCACTTGCAGCAGCAGCAGAAGCAGACTGCAGCAGCAGCACCTACAGCAGCAACGGCAGCAGCAGCACCACCAATATCAACAAAATCGCAAAAAACTGGGAGGAGAGACTTGCGGTGAGTAGCAGCACCTGCAGCAGCAACAGCAGCAGAAGAAGAAGCAGCAATACCTGCAACAGCAGTAACAGAAGCAGCAACACTTAGAGCAGCAGCAGCAGCAGCAGCAGCAGCAGCAGCAGTAACTGCCTACAGCAGCAACACGGATACGTGAAGTAGTGCTGTGCAATTCGTTGCTGCCTCCGCACTCGTGCCTTCTGATGTTTCTTCTGTGCTGCTGTCCTTGCTGCTACTGTTGTTGCTGCTGCTGTTGCTGCTGCTGCTGCAGACGCACCGAAGACACATACTGCAGACGTTGCTGCCTTTCCCATACTCCGACTGTCTAGACACTGAGAGTACTGCTGCTGGAGCGACGAGCTCTACAGGCAGCCGCAGCAGTGCAGATGCAGCAGCAGCAGAAGCATCAGCAGCAGCAGCAGGGGAAGCTGGATGTGCAGCGTCCGTTCCCGCTGCTGCTGCCGCTGCTGAAGCTGCTGCTGAAGCTGCCGCTGAAGCTGCTGCTGATGCTGCTGCTGCTGCTGCTGGAGCCTCAGGAAAGAAGCAGATACGCGTCGGTATTGCTGCGCTGCAGTGGTGTGGAGTTCGTTTTATTGAAGATGCGCTGGGCCCGACAGCACGGCGGGTGTTCGCAGCAATGCAGGGCGTAAACAAATTTTCTGCTGCTGCTGCTGCTGCTGCTTCCTCTTCAAACCCTGTGCTGCAGTATACCCGCTGCAGCGGGGGACCCCCACCGAAACACATACAGCAGCATGTCCTGCGTGCAGTTCATGTACGCTCGCTGTTCCTGCTGCTGCTCTTGATGCTGCTGCAGCCGCTAATGCTGCTGCTGCTGCTGCTGCTGCTGCTACTGCTGCTGCTACTGCGGCGGCGGCCAACGCGACACTGTTCCCGCCTTGCTGTTGCTGGTGTTGCTGCTCTATTTGGACAGCAGAAAACCCTGACTGTGTGGCTGTATATGTTATATCAGCACGAAATGTTGCTGCTGGTGGTGCTATTGCTGTTGCTGCTGCTGCTGCTGCTGCTGGTGCTGCTGCAGACTCGTTTGTGGAGGCGCGAGCCGGTGTTCTTCTGTGTGCCGGAGGTTCGTCTTGCAAGTGTAGCAGACGCCTGCCACCCCATCAGCAAATTAACATCCTTCACTGGTGAGAGATTCACAAAACCAGGACAGCGGATTTGCGTATTCGGAGCTCCATACCCTGTTGCTGTCTGGGCAGGGCCACCCATCAAGGTACCTCTTCACGCTGCTGCTGCTGCTGCTGCTGCTGCTGCGGAACTGCCGCTGCTGCTTCTGATTCTGCTGCTGGTTCTGCTGCTTTTGGTGCTGGCGGTGCTGCTGCTGCTGCTGCTTCTGCTGTTTCTTCTTCTGCTAGTGCTTCTGTTGCTGCTGCTGTTGCTGCTGCTGCTGTTTCTGGAACAGGTCTGCTGCTGCTGTTGACGCTGTTGCTGTTCTCTGTGTTGTTTCTGTAATTGTTTCTGGTTGTTGAGGTTGTTGGGATCTGTATTTATGTTATTTAGCTCGGTTTTTAATTCTTTTGCTTTATATTTTATTGTTTTTGTTTACTGTTTCTTACAGAAAGGTGAATTCAAAATCTTCGGTGTCCGCACTGGGGAGTTCTTAACTCCAGCTGAAGGGGCGGAGGCAGCAAAGGAGTTGCAGCCAACGGGGCAGTACGACAGCATCAGGACATGCGACATATATGTACGATCTAGCTGCAGCCACACACACATACATACAACCCACTTGCTGATGCCTTTGCTGCTGCTGCTGCTGCTGCTATGGCTGCTGCTGCTGTTGCAGTATGCGTGGTTCGTGCTGAGGCGTGTTGTTTGTCTGTCTATGTGTATATCTGTGCCTGTTTCTTTCTCTCTCTGTATGTCTATATATGTATATATGTCTTTGATCGAGCATTATTTTATTCTTATTACCGCTGGCTGTGTATATCTGCATAGTGTTGCTGTTGCTGCTGTTGCTGCAGCCTGATGCTTCTGATGCAGAGGGTCGGTGGCGGCAGCGCGTGAATGAAGCACTGAGGGAGGCGAAGGTGGTGTGCGATCCCCGCGAGGAAGAGTTTGGGTTTAAGCGTTTCTCTTCTGGCTGCAGTGACACCGGAAGCTCTACTGCCGCCTTTGTCGCTGTCCCATTTAAAGGGCTTGAGTTCACCTCCATTCGCAAGGCCTGCCCCCTTGCCTTCGTACAACATACTGGTGAGCTGCAGTCTTTCCTGCTGCAACACACTTGCGCTGCCATCCTGCTGCTGCTGCTGCTGCTGCGGATACTGCTGCTGCTGCTGCTTCGCTAACAAGTAGCACTTCCCCAGCTTCAAGCCGACCTGTAGACGCAACGGCTTCTGGACTTGCTGTTGTTGTTGTTGCTGCTACTGCTGTTGCTGTTGCTGCTGCTGCTTTACAGGGGAACGCCTGCTGGGGGCTGAGGTGCTGCGGGGCCCATGGGCAAAGTGGCGGCGCCAGCGGTCAACTGTCTGCGTACACCAGGTGTTGGTGGATGGGCTGCCTCTTTATGTCTACTCCAATAACCCGCAGGTAAGAAGAATAAGAAGCTGCCTTGTTCTCGTTTGGGTGCTGCAGCAGCTTTAGTAGCAGCGGGGGTATCTGGTGCAGCTGCACGGGGGAGTTGAATTGTCTGCTGCTGCTGCTCTGGCGCTGGTGCTGCTGCTTTGCCTTAATGTTGTGGTTTGTGTGCGTGTGTGTGTTTGGGGTGTATATTATGCAGGAACCGTTGAACATGGGGGATGAGCTTTGTCTGAATATGCTGCAGTTTCCTGGTTTTCTAACAGATACATTTCTGGCGACGTTGGGGCTTATAAAGCGGCGGCGTGCGAATGCAGAGAGCGTCTTAGAGAATTTACGGTTACAGGGCTACACCTCCCCGCAGTGGTTGCAGCGGTGTCTGCTGCTTAAATACCCCCTCAACTACGAAGACATATGCTCGCGGGGGTCTTTAGAGACAGTGCGGCTTCTGGAGTTAATCTCTAGAAACAACAAAGAGGGTCCCCGCAGTGTGACGTTGCTAAGCAGGCTGGGCCTGCCGAGCGGGCACAGCTCCAAAGAGGGCAAGGGCAGTGTTAGCAGCAGTTCGCATGCGGGGCTGACGTGCTTCATGCAGTGGCATGTGGCGCACGACAGCGCATGCAGAGAAGAGATAGAGACTCTGCTGGCGGGAGAGGCCTCGCTGCCGCTCTGCAGCTGCCCCAGCAGCATCAAGCTGAGACGCATTGCTCTGCGGCTTCTACGGCTGCCAGAGGCATACGCCTGCCTCCCCCCTCACGAGCTGGGGCCTCTTCTGGAGAGTCACTGGGTGGTTGTAGAAGGGGGGGAGAAGGAGGAAGGCGCAGGCGTAATGCAGCGCCTGCTGCGTGCACGAGACTGCTGCCGCCACTGCTACAAAACTCACCCTGTGGCAAAGGCGTTCCCTCAGATGGGCTGGAGATACAGGTCTCCCCTAGAGCAGGGAGAGGCCTCTCAGAAACAGCCCTAAGTTTCTTGTCAAGCTGTGCGACACTGCGTGAGGTTGGGGGGCAGTTCCGTGCATATTGCAGCCTAAACCAACACACACAACACCTGAAGGGCGGGGGCACACAGATTCTGAGATGGCGCAAGTTCAGCTTGCTGAGTAACAGTTTCTAGGCGTTGGGTCTTTCTTTTCTCGAGGCTATTTTGGGCTAGGGAGATGCAGGACAAGGAACAGCCAGTAGGTGAATGCAGCGATCGCTCCGGGGTGTTTGGCTCTCCTGATGGATCGAGGAGTTCGCAGTGACGGCCAATCTTCCATCGTTTTCCTCTTTCCCTCTTCTATTTCGGAAAGTAGATACCCCCAGATGCTGGTTTGTAGTGATCGTGTTCCTCTGGATTACCTACACACAAAGGATAAGATGCTGCTTTGGCCGCAGACCATCGCCAGCACGTACACTTGGGTGTCTGCCAGCAAAGATGTTTCCCTCTCCTGTTCAGCCTGAGGTGGGCAAGCAGGCATGGGTCTCCGAACTTCTCGCGAAGGGAGGAGGCAGCAACAGCGTCTGCCGATGCCGTAGGGTTGTCAGGTTTGAGTCTTCGCTGCTTCTCTCGAGGCTCGGGCAAATTTCGCTAGATCCTTCACCCCCCGCCTGTTATATTCAGGATACTGTATACACCTATTTCTACTTCATGGCCATCAAGCACTTGATACTGCCCCGTGTCTCGTGAGGTGGCGATACAGCTGTTGTGCTGTTGGTGGTGGCGTCGTACTGCCGTGGTGCGCTTGTGAGTAAGGGGGTATAAAGATGCAGCTCTGCAATCTGCATGAGCGAACGGAGTGGCGCTTGCCTCCCCCTGCTCACGCAGCATCCGATGCATGCATTTTCAAATATTCTATTCTCGTGTTTTTTCTGGGGTAAAGAGGTATATGTGTAGCGAGGTTCGCTCTATTAAATTTTTTGCCGCTCCCTTTGTTGCGGCTGAGCCCGAAGACATGATGCGGGCATACTTGCTGAGTCTATTCACAACAGCATAAATTATATCGCAGCCTCTGACTGATGTTTAATTCGCTATGAAATCCACGCGTCCAGGCCCATTTAGGTGTCGGACGGTTCTGCAGGTGTTGAGAAGTGAAGGCGCTCCTCCGATCTATCTTCTGAGATTCACAAGCGAGGTGACATTCTTGTGCTGGCGGTTACACACTAGGGCCACCAAAGGGACCTGTCTAGTGTCACAGCTGCTGATGTATTTGTATTGAAGAACGCAGTAACGTGTAGTCGTGCACTCTGCGCATAGCTTCCGTAGAGATGAAGCTGAAGGGTATAGTCGGCGGAGTCTACGCCCCGTCTGATTCGAGACAGCGCCGTATATGTTGTGGTACTTAACACGCTCTCCGTTGTTGGGTTTGGGGAAAACCAGAGTCGCGTGAGCAGCAAAGGATAAGAAAAACACAATTCAGAAGGAAGCCAAAATAACCACCTAGACACACGGATGCAGGAAAGGATGCAGGAAAAAAAGCCTGACTGACAGTTCGTCTGAAGAATGCGACAGCCGCCATGTTGGTGATACCCTTGATGCGCTTAGCTTGGAAGTCCAACTGTGCAATCCGGTCTGTCAGGGATGTACGATCGATCTGAACAGTGCAGTGCGTGCTATCAATGTTGTGTCGACAGTTTTCTTCTCCCCACCACACCGCGTAGTGCCCCAGCCTGTGTCGTGGATACTTCTCTTCCACTTCCATGAAACGTTGTGAGATATAGGTGATTATTTGCAGTATCCCGAGGAGTCAGCTGAGAGAGAGGGTTATCCCAAACGGTGTGCTGTTGGCAGCAGCGGATAAGAAGCGAATCTGTCGAAAGCAGGGAATGGGAGTACTGGAGGCAGTCCGGTCTCGGACAAGACCCTTGGCAGGTTCTTCGTCGGTGTCTGTTGCTGATCATCCTTGATTAGATCCACTATGTGGGCGTCAATGCCATGGTATCCAGTGATAAAGTTGCAATTGTACGGAGCCAGACTGAGAAGCTTCAGAACGCTCGTGCGTGTGTAAAGCGGAAGCGGGCAAATCCAGCTGGCCTCTATCTTCGCAACCTCTGGTTCGGCTACTCCTGGATGAATGCACAACCCTAAGAAGCTAGTTGATGGCATGAGAAATAAACACCTCTGGTTTTTGCAAACTGCCTCTCCTCATGTAGCAGCTGCAGCGCTCCCCGGAGCGCTGCAGCTGAAAGTGCTCCTGGACCTTCCGCATCAGCATACGTTCGTTGTCCATGCATACAAAAAGCCGCCCTTTACTGGTTTCCGCAAGCGCATTCACATGCCTCAAGAGCGTCCAGAAGAACTCTACTTTGGGTCTGCCTTTGGGGACTTTAGTTTTGTGTCTGCCGACGGAATGCATTGGAAGGTTTTGCTTTCAGTGTCTTTGTTATTGAAAAAAGCCGCCGCCCATCTTGTCTTCTTCCGTTTTCCTTCGACATCACACGATTGCGTCCAATGTCAATGCGAATGTTTTTGAGCTCTGTATGAAGCGCACTCTGTCACTGCTGCACTGTACTGGGCATACACTTCTAAACATCAAAGCAGAGAGCAAGGGACTCCCCTCCTGCACCCACGAACTCCGAGCAGAGCGCCAGAGGCTCCGTTGGAAAGTGGGGAGAAAAAGCGACCTACCCTTATTTGCAGCACCCAGCGGTGCAATTTCTGGTGCAAAGGCTAGTGTGGAGGGTAGCATTCGCAAGTCCCCTTACGACACATCAAATGACACTGCATTCCTTCGTTGAACGTCTTTTTATCATTACCCAGCTTACTATGGATGCACCCACATCCTTCTGACAGAAGCACACTAGATACTGCAGGGGGAAAACCTTTCAGGAGCTTGGCTGGGGTAGGTGACACCTCCGGAACAGCGAGCGCAGCGGCAATAGAACAGAGAATATGCTTCAACAAGATTTTTTGATGCAAGAATTTTCCAAGATGTAGGTCTCATAAACACGCTTCGTTTCTTCTTTCTGACGAAACTGCCCTCATACTGTGTACCCACTGTAACGTGAGTCCGTGATATTGTCTGAGGAACCTCGTGAGTTGCAGTGGAGCCAAACGACTCAAGGAAAGAGTCCTTAAGAAGCCGCTGACTTCCTCCTACGTCCCCAGACATTCTGTGCAAGGCAGCGTGAAGGCTTGGGGCACGGGAGAGGAGACTGTCTATGATGAAGATGCTCATGCCTTGTTGCAACTGATGCTCCAAGGCACCTCCACACGCATGAACAACGCAATCAGCTCTTGCTGTCTGCACAAAGACTCTAGACAATTGTTGTACTTGTGCTTGTGTTTAAGTACAAATGATTGCACAAGAAAGTACTCATCTACCAGCTTCGAAGACACTGCTACACCACAAGAAAGAGAACTCTGGGCACCAAGTGCAGCCTACACTGCGTGAGGCTGATGCTGCTAGGGGCCCCTTAGCCCCCGTTTGCATATGCTGGAGCTCGGATGCCTCCTTTCCTCTTAGGTGTCTGCGTGTTGCTACCTGTTTCATAATTATATTATGTTGCGACTACCCTACGCCCAGCGCAGGCCTGCCGCTCTAGAGAGATGCATTTGGATGTAATGCATTTATTTCTACTTCTTAATATTTCTAAAGTGTGTTTCAATAACAGAGAAAACCCCAGTATATCTCCTCGCCCCCCGGGTGGCCCAGAAGGGGGTAGGGGGGGCCCTTTGAGTGTACAGAGGCCCCTAAGGCTGGACACGAGGCCCCCAACTCCGTCTTCTCTTGCTGCTCCTCTATGCATGCTTACCCTTTTCTTCTTTATTTGTTTTGCTAACGTCTGTTTAATAGCTCAAACTGCTTCGGTTTTGCTGCTGAGGGGCCTTGCTGCTGCTGGAGTGAGGGGGGCGGGGGCCTCGGCGCAGCACCTGTTGCAGTGTTGGTTGTGTGGGAGATAATTTGTCTCCTTCTTAATTACGCCTTGTGTCTTTTAGAGCAGCAAACAGACGCCTAGAAGATAACACAGACAGCAGGAGATGTTCGGCTCAGGGGGGGGCCTCTTTGGCTCGGCCTCGCAGGCCCCAGCAACAACAGGGGGCCCCACAGGCCTTTTCGGGAGCGGGGGCACAGCAGCAGCAGCAGCAGCACCAGCAACAGCAGCACCAGCAGCAGGAACATCAGGAGCTGCAGGCACAGCAGCCCCTGCTGCAGGCGGGACTGGCTTCGGTTTGTTTGGGGGGGCCTCCTCAGCAGCGCCTACAAGCAGTACTGGGGGGGGCCTCTTTGGCTCTGGTAGTGCTGCTAGTGCTGCTCCTGCTGCTTCAGGGGGCCTCTTTGGAAAGCCTGCAGCAACAGGAACAGCAGCAACAGGTGCTACTGGTGGGGGCCTCTTCGGCAGCAGCAGCACGGGGGCCCCCACAGCAACAGGCACTGGAGGAGGGGGCCTCTTCGGCAGCAGCAGCACGGCGGCCCCTACAGCCACAGGCACTGGAGGAGGGGGCCTCTTCGGTAGCCTCTCCACAGCGACAGGGGCCCCCAGCAGCACTGCTGCTGCAACCCCTGCTGCAACAAGTTCAGGGGGGCTCTTCGGGACGAGCACTGCAGCAGCAGGAGCAGCAGCAACCCCTGCAGCAGCAACTGGGGGAGGCCTCTTTGGGGCGGCGAAGCCTGCAGCAGCAGCAGCACCGGCCACAGGGGGCCTCTTCGGCAGTAGCAGCACCACAGGAGGGGGCCTTTTTGGCAGCAGTACCAACAGCAGCAGCAGCACCAGCAACACGGGAGGCCTGTTTGGCAGCAGCAGCACGGGAGGCGGTCTCTTCGGCAGCGGTAGCAGCAGCAGCAACACTGGCTCGGGCGGCCTGTTCGGAGGCACCAACACCACTGGGAGCAGCAGCACCAGCAGCAGCAGCAGCAGCAGCAACGTGAAGGGCATCAACATCAGCACAGCAGCGTTTAGCACCGTAGACTGGCGTGCTGCTGCACTGCTGCCGCGGCAACCGACCCTAGAAAGCCTAGGGCGTGTGTTGCAGCAGCTGCCGCAGGGTGCGCGGGAGGTGGAGATACACCTGAGAGAGCAGGAGAGACAGCTGGAGTCTCTTCAGGCTCAAACTGTCGCTCTGAAGAAGTAAGGTCTACTCCTTTGCTTACGCAGCGAGTGCTGAGGGTTTCTTTCTGGGCCTTAGGGTTTAGAGTTTAGGGTTTAGGGTTTGCGCTTCAGGTCCTTCGGCTCCCTAGAGGGAGGCCTGGCAGCAGAGGCAGCGAGGGTAGCAGCTGCAGGGCACCGCGTGGCTGTGGCGAGCCGCCAGAGCAGCGCTGTGAGGCCTTTATTAGAGAGAGACAAGGTAAGCAAAGATGAGACTGCTGCTGCTGCTGCTGCTGCACTGCTAATGCAGTAGCTGCATACACCAGGAGCCCCCAGCAAACCCGATGGCGGCCCCAAAGGGGGGCCCCCCCTCAACCACGGGATAGAAGGGGCCCCTCGCCGCTGCGTTTCTGCTAAACTGCGCACTCGCGCATTCGCTGCTGCATGCATTGTGGCTGCTGTGTTGTGCTGTTGCTGCTGCTGCTGCTGTTTCTATCAGAATTTCTGCTTCCAAGTTGAGCAGCTGTATCAACAGCTCGTGCAGAACCTCGCCGTTGCTGCAGCAGGTGCAGCAGCGCAAGGCACAGATGTGCCCTGTGCTTTGCCTCTACAGGTGCAGTCCTACCCGCACAGATAGCTAGCTAGCTAGCTAGCTAGCTAGCCATGCAAGCCGCAGCTACCTAGCAGCTAGCCAGACAAGTAGCAATGAGCTATCAACTAGCCACCACCAAGCACCAGCTAGCCAATCAAACAGCCGCTTTTGCTGCGGAGCTTTTAAATAGGAAGTCAGCAGACACCTGCGGCCGCTTGCTCCCGCAGTGGTTTAGGGTTTAGGATTTAGGATTTATTCGTGTCTAGGGTTTAGGGTTTACAGTATTTTGCCTTCGTGTTTAGGCTTCATTGGTGTGGTGAATAGGGTTTAGGGTTTATTGCTGCTATTTAGAGTTTAGGGTTTACTTTTGTTATTTAGGGTTTAGGGTTTATTGTTGCTATTTAGGGTTTAGGGTTTATTGTTGTTATTTAGGGTTTAGGGTTTATTGGTGCAATTTAGGGTTTAGGGTTTATTCTTGTTGTCTCCTGTTTGGGGTTGCTATTAACTAGTCGTTGCGATTATTGCCTTTTGTTCATTGCCGGTTAATAATAAACATTAAATTCTGAAGAAGATGTATTTTGTTTTGAAGTACAAAATTATTAGATTAGACTGCGGGGGTATTTACTCCTATACACCACCTTAACTCTCTTATTTCGGTGTACGTACTGCCTCAGCAAGGACGAGTATTTGTGTGTTGTATTTTATTGCTTTTGTTTGTTTCTTTCAGGTCCCATCGGCACTGGCTACCCCATGCATTCAGCAGCTGCTGCAGTCAGTAGAGGCAGCACGTGAGAGGTTGTCTTTGTTGGAGTCGCAGGTGCACGAGCTCCGCTGCGCTCAGGAGGGGGGCCCCTCCGGGGGGGCTGGGGGCCCCTGTCTTGCTGCTACCCAGCAGCCCACAAGCTGTGGGGGCCCCTCCTCTGGGAGAGCTGATGGCGTCATGATAGCGGAGATTATTGCGGCTCAAAGGGACCTCCTGTTTAATGCTTCAAAGAGGGTACGATCTAAACCCTAAGATACAGTCGTGGGGCCCCTGTGCGTCGCAGGGGCCCCCTCCAGTATGCTTGGCCCTGCGAGGGCCCCTCAGCAGGGGGAGAGGGGCCCCTGAGAAGGGGGTAGAGGGCTTCCAGAGAGGGAGGAGAGGGGGTAGGGGGCCCCTTAAGATGGGGTAGGGGGCCCTTGGGGAGAGAGTAGAGGGCCCTCAGTCGGTGGCGTTAGCCTTACTGGTGGGGCCCCTGTCTCGTGTTTCTTGCGTCTTCAGAGGTGTGCATGGGGATGGGGTGGAGTTGTTGTGCTGTTGGCTTGAAGGCTGTGCATGCCGTTGCGTCTGCTGATGCTGCTGCTCCTGCTGCTGCTGCTGCTGCTGCTGCGGGGCCGCAGGCACTTGTGTTGGTGGAGGCGGCACAGGAGGCCCAGGAGGCCCTCGAACAGGCAGGAGTTAAGCTGCTGCCTCCCAGCGAAGATGAGGAGGCAGCAGACATGCAACCCAGCCAAGGTAAATACACCTGAGCCCTTACTGTCTTGCTGCCTCTCGTCTCAACTGCTTCTGCTGCAGCTGCTGCAGCAGCAGCAGCATCAACTGCTGTTGAGCTGTGAGGAGGGTTGTGGCGCTTGGCGTTTTGGGGCGGTGACTCCAGGGTCTGTCTTTGTTGCTTCTGTTGTTGCTGCTGCTGCAGGAGACAAAGCTTCTTTAGCTGGTGGCGGGGGGCCCCTCCTAGGGGCAAGCAATACTCTTTTCGGCGGCCTGCAGCAGCCCAGCACATCCTCTGGAGGGGGCTTGTTTGGGTCTGCTGGGGCAGCACAGGGAGGCGGCACGAGTCTATTTGGGGGGGCCTCTGGGGTTGGTGGGGGCCTCTTTGGCGCACAGGGTACAGGGCAGCAGCAGCAGCAGCAAGGGGCCCCTGCCACTGGGGGCCTATTTGGGACGGCCGGTGGGGGGGGCCTCTTTGGCGCTGCGAACACCAACGCAGCAGCTGGGGGGGCGCAGACAGCAGCAGGAGGAACAACAGCAGCAAAAGGTGCGGGGGGCCTCTTTGGTACCTCTAGCACAGGGACTGGGGGCCTCTTTGGGGCAGGTGGAGGGGCCCAGGGTACGACGGGGGGCGGAGGCCTCTTTGGGGCCTCTAGTACTACTCAGCAGGGTACAGGAGGGGGCCTCTTTGGCGGCAACCAGCAGCAACAGCAGCAGCAACAGCAGCCGCAGCAGCAGCAGCAAGCCACAGGAGGCCTCTTTGGGTCTACTGCAGCAACGCAGAGCGGCGGAGGCGGCGGCCTCTTCGGGGCCTCTTCAACGTGGGCCCCTTCAACAGGGACAGGAGGAGGTTTATTTGGCAGCACTCAGCAGCAGCAGAATACTGCTACTGGGGGGGGCCTCTTTGGGGCCTCCAGTAACACTCAGCAGGGTACTGGGGGGGGTCTCTTTGGGGCCTCAGGCAACACTCAGCAGGGGGCTGGGGGGGGCCTCTTCGGGGCCTCAGGCAATACCCAGCAGGGTACTGGGGGGGGCCTCTTTGGGGCCTCGAGTAACACCCAACAGAGTACTGGGGGGGGCCTCTTTGGGGCCTCCACCGGCACACAGAATACGGGGGGGGGCCTCTTTGGGGCCTCCACAGGCACACAGGGTACTGGCGGAGGCCTCTTTGGGGCCCCCAAGACGGGGCAGACTGCAGGGGGTCTCTTTGGTAGCACCCAGCAGAATGCTGTCGGGGGCGGTCTCTTTGGCACGAAGAAGTAAAGCGTTGCTGCAGCAGCAGATGCAAGAGGTTCCGCGTTTGCTGCTGCTGCTGCAGCAGCAGTTGCAGTGGATTCCGCGTGTGCTGTTGCTGCTGCTGCACCTGCAGATGCAGCTGCACCAGCAGCACCGGCAGCAGCAGCTTTTGTGTGTCTCCCGAGTTGTGGGCCCTCCTCTGCCCGGACAGTTTTCCTAACTGCCCCGGACAGTTTTCCTAACTGCACCCGTTGTCGAGTGTCTCCTTAGAGGCCTTCAAAGCATTTCTTACCCAATAGGCTTCATTTGTCTCTTTCTTCTGACTCCATAGTAGCCTACAAAGCATTACTTACTCATTAGACTTCATTTGTCTCTTTCTGCTGTCCCCTTAGAGGCATTTAGAGCACTTTAGAGTCTCTATTCCGTATCATTTGCCTGCTTTACTTCGCTCCCTAGAGATCTTTTAGGCATTATCTACTCTGCATATTTCATTTGTCTCTCTGAGTCTGAGTCTGTTTTGTGCAAACAACGGAGACCAGCGAGGGGGCCCCAGCAGGAGATATAAAAATGCGTTTATAAACACTAGTCGCAAGCTGTCTCCTCTCTTCGTATTGCCCCTTCAGAAAGAAGAGGGCCCACTGAGATGCCAAATGCTGCTTTCGCTTGATTTGGAGGGCGATCTGCTGTATAGACAGGCACTGGGACTGCTGTAGTCGCGCACCACTCTCTGTCCTTGTCTCTCTCTGTCTCTATCCATCTACATATATATATATATATATATGCATATATATGTTCAGTATTATATACTATGCATATGGATAGCAATATAATATATATATATA